GCAAGATTTGTTGAACTGTACTGTTTTTTTAATAGTACAATTTCCTCGAATTTCGATTTGCACACGAAAGCTATGTTAGCAAAACAACTACAAACAACGAATAACAACAAAATTTACCTGGGTCATTGTCTGGATCCTTTCTTTCAGTGATTCAAGCTCTGACGTTATTTTCGTCTCAAGCTGTTTTCAAAATGTAAAGCAAGATTATCATGGCCAGAACTTCGAAAGGTGATATGCCACAAGACATCAGACAAATCGCAATTACAAGGATTAGAGCGGTGTTCATTTGAGTGTCGAAAAGTGATTGGTTTTGCATTACTACGCTACATGATTGGTTAAAAAACCTCGCGCCACTTTTTTATCCAATCAGAAGCAAAACTAAACACAACACCAATCGTGATTTGCTCGCGCACTTTTTCCCGCGCTTTGCGTCAGCTTCACATTTTTACGTCAAGTTTTGATTGGTTCGCTGTATTGTCTGTGTACTTTGTGATTGGTTAGAGTAATTACTTTGGTTTTGATTTTACGACAACCAATTGAAAATCGTTCTAAAACCTAATCTTAACAGTATAGTTTTGTTAAAATTAAACTGTACTGTACTATCCCGCTCCACTGAAGCTGTTAAAGAGCCGTTAACATGAGTTACACATTCACGACGTTTTGACTCAAATCATGCATAGTAGAAGACTCTTTACTATCCATGCTCAAACTGAAAACGTTGGGCAGACGTTTTCAAATCCTGAATGCCTTCGTCTCAAAGAAAATAGCTATACAAACTAATTACCATTTTTTCCCTTCAGCAATTCACTTTATGTTTTCACCTTTAATACTGAGTGTTCTAGACTTTTGAGTACGAGCGCAGGTACATGAACATGCGGTAATTTTAGCATCTTTTTGAGGTTGCAATATAACAAAATCCCTGTTAATGATTTCTAAGTGTCGGGTGACTACCATCTACTCGTAAGGATTTTTGATTTTTTTCGGCTCACTGATACCTTAAAAGGTGCTCTAAAGCCTGGTTTTAACTACGACATAAGCACAAACACAAAAATAAGCATAAAGGTAGTGAGCCAGAGGACGCACACAACACAAGTATAAACACGTAGGTATGCGCAGAGTGGATAATTACCTTATTTTCGGTTCCATACAGCAGCGCGTTCTCACTTGACACAAGCACAAGAAGAGAAAG